GGTGTTGGTCGGGAAAGGTGTTTGTTGTCAGATCCTTATGGTGAGGGGGGTCGCGGGTTCGATCCTGGTGTTGGCCGAGAACGTTTCTCGGGATTTGTCGGCGTGGTTTTCCCGTGTCATTTTATGGACCCGGCTTTGCGATATCAGGACCCAAGCACGTTGCCGCACAGTCATCAGTGCTGTAGTTTCAGTATGTACAACAGGAGCTGTGTAACTTCCTATAATGCGAAGCAGTATCGTGTGTTCCAGAACGCACGGGCATAAACGTCACTATTAATTCTTGCTTTGGGATATGCTACCTTGTCCAGTCGTCAAGGGGAATGTGGTTGGTTGGGTCTCCTAAGAAACTTTTAAGACAACACTCCCATTCATTGGTGTCCATTCATTGTTCCGTATCTTAATATGTATGTCATTTATTTTCAGTTTGTGTAAGAGACGACACCAGAATAACTATGATAAACCATCTGATAGAATCACAGAAAGTACCAACTACAATAATCTACGTGTGAAGGATGAGATGGTTATTACAGATAATGATTTGTATGTTAGTTATGACGATGATAAAAACCAATCCACAACTCCTACTTCAGATCTACAACCTGTACAGGGACATACATTTGCAAATACTAATGGTCCACAGTCACCAGATACAAGCCATTCAACTCCAGATCTACAACCTGTACAGGGCCATACAAATGCCAATATTGATGATCAACAACCATCACATACAAACCACTTCACTCCAGATCTACACCATGTACAGCCATCTGTCACAACTTCTGGTAATAAATCAACTCACGATGGCATGATCATTCTAGAAAATGACCTTTATGTGAGCGTGGATTCTATTCCCAATTCTGCTGCAGAAAATAATAAGCTTTCGGGATTAAACCAAACGGAATTTGCAGTAGAAACTAATCCTTGTGTAAATAATGTCTATGCTGTGGTTGATAAAAAGCGGAAACCAGATAATAAAGCAGAAAATCCATAAACCGAAAACAGACCATTTCAAAGAAAAACTAACTGCTAATGTTGCATGGAGAGTCGTACCACAGATGAACCAAACGGAATTTGAATTAGAAACTAATCCCTGTGTAAATAATGTTTATGTCGTGGTTAATATAAACCGGGAACCAGATAATAAATCAGAAAAACAATAAACATCGAAGAAATAACTAAATGCCCCGTTGCATGTTTATAATGGAAACTGTGATCCGTCTAACATTTTCAATAGTGTCAAATATAACATGTAGATTTTAAAATTACATATTAGTATGTCATGTTTTCACAACATAATCTACAAAATGGTTTAGTACTTTTATTAAATAGTTAATTTTATAAAATCAATTTACATATCATAAGTATCTTGTATCGTATTATGTTACAAAACAAAGTATGTTGTTACAAGACAAAGCGTTTTGTTACAAAACTAATTCTTTCGACACAAAACTAATTCTTTCGATATAAAACTCAGCCATTATGTCTAGAATATAGCCCCCCCCCCCTAACCCCCTTATGTTGCCTATCACTACTGGCTTTATATTAATAATACAGAACTTTCCAAATATAGTTCTTATAATACTGTATAAATCAAGTTTGGCAATAGTTTATTAGCCAGTTGTCTCGACCATTCCGCTTATACAAATCCTAAGATTTCAGTAACTTACTAAGCAAGCGCCGCTATAAACGCTATCAATCGGGAAACCCGCCAGTGTAAACGGAACGTAAAACGAATGTTTTAAAGTCGATGTTTTGTAATGTGTGTTAAATCAGAAAAGCTGTTCATTACAGACGAAACGATCTTGATCCACATAGCTGTTACTCTTTGACCTATTTTAGTAATTCTATTTTTCTTCTTTGAGTACCTTTGATACCCCAGCACGAATAAAGGACTGTAACGGTTAGTGGTTTAGATTATCGTGTTATTTGAATTCCAAATACCTAACTTGCTGATTGATGTGTTGGAGTTTTCATTTTTTGAAACGACATGCTTCAATACTACTTGTAATGTATTGAAAACACTCTCTACTTTCGTGTTTAGGTACACTTGAGCATCGGACATCTGTTTGTTTACCATATTATATGAATAATTGTTAATTTTCATTATTTATCTGTCAGAAGTCGGTCATGCTTGATTTAAGCCTTGAGCTTTCGCTACGTGCTCTCTGATTGGCTGGGCGCGACCATTCAAATCGACGTTTGAATAGTACATTCTGCGCTGATCGCACGAGCATTTCGCGAGTAAGAGGGTATATAAGCAGCCGAATTCATCACTTGTCCTTGTATCGCGACCCGAAGGCAATATAGGCATGGAAATAGTAACTATTCCGATTATTAGCCGGGAAATGTAGTTTTTCCGCCATGCTAATACATTATATTTAATTTTGGATTTTATTTATCGATGATTTAAGAAGTATTTAAATTTAATTAGGTTTAGTTATGAATTTTACTTGCTTATAAAATTAGCATTTAAAGTGGCTTTCTGCATTTTCAAATATTACTGCGCCATTCGGTTCGAATTTTTTTGTATATTTACTCGTCGATCATTGGCGCGGGTCACTCTCGCGAAGTGATTATGTGGAGCTTTTTTTACTTCATGGACTTTTGTCTAGATTCAGCTGATTCGGCCTTGTTTTTTCATGTCATTAGTTTTATTGTGCGGTACCTGCTTTGATTTGTATGTAATGACTGTGCCTGCCGTCTGAATTTGATCATGCTTGGAGCGAAATCCAGCATTTAGGACGTGGTCTTGAACGGGGGAACCAGTATTAATGTAGGCGGAAAGACGCGTAAATTCGTAGTTGTTGAAAATTACTATACGATAGTCATGGAATCTCGAGATAACATTTAAATTAGTTGTTTTGTTTAATAACGTACTTTAATTCAAATGTATCTGATAAACACTGGGATAAAGTTAAACTCTTATCTTGGAACTTGAGGCCCGTTTAATTTGTTAGGGATACACTCTTTCATTTAATCATCTATTTATTCATTTATTATACGGTTGTCAGATGTTACAATTTGTTTAAAACTTTTGGAATAATAAATAATTATTTTGTTTTCTCTGAATTGATGTTTGGGGCAAACCATTGAGCATCCAGTATACGAATCCCTGCTTCTGAATAAACTCACAGTTGGAGGTTTTGTGACTGGTGAAAAGGGTGGAACTTTACTTTGTATTTATTTAAACCGAGGGTCGGGGCGCGTTTGATTCCGAGCACCTGTGGTTTTGGCGAGCTTGAACGTACATGTTTGCTTATAAGTCCCAAGATACCACATCTTTTGACGGACTTGCCCTCGTACTATATATTGGCTAGCTTCGTAAGATACCTTTTCGCCAGTCGTAAGCCTCTACTACTACAGATGTATCACTCCTGCTTCCACGAATCTGATATTGGTAATTGCACCCCAAAATGGCATCGAATGAGTATAACAGTCCTCTAAATTTACTGGGCGACAACCTCGGTGAAAGCGGACGTAAAATATAGCTATTTCACACACACACACACACACACACACACTCACCTGGGCGACTCACTGCGAATGAATATTTTCTGGGTTTCAGACGCTCTTTGCAGTGGCCAAAAATTATACACCTCAAAACTTTATTCTAGGAAATCTTCATGACATTTTGCTTGTGTGTTATAAACTATGAAATTCAACCATTGGCTTATTGAAACATACACCTCAAACGCACGCACGCACGCACGCACACAAAAAACAAAGTTGGTGTATTTAAAAGATAATAAGTAAATCTCATTTCAAGGCTGGTCTGACAATAGTTGCTATGGTCATTCTATCAGACTTGTTAAATTCGAAGATTTTCAATAAGTGAAGAAAAATACTACAACTTATTGAACTCCCTATGGACCGTAAATAACTGATGGTCATATATTCTAAAAACAAAACAAAACGGACTGATACTGCTATGAATATGACAGAGACTAATTTTTATACACAGGTTTTTTCTTTTGCAAAGACAACACAAGTGTTACAGTTTTCAAAGAAACGTAGCAACCGCATGCGTAGGCTACACAGCATATATCTACACGGTCACAAGATTGTATGGACATTTATCAAACATAATATGCAATGTATTTCTAACCTAGACACTGGTGAAGTTCAAAATCATTTAAAAAGTACATAAAATACACTTACTTACAATTTCTATTTAGATCTTCAAAATTATCGCATTGACCTCACCAAATCGAACGCGAGGGAGTGTTATGTTATTACGTCACGGATGTTTTCATTACGTCAAAATTGTTTTCTTTGGTTTTTGCGTCATTAAATTAAACCAAAAAAACCCCCAAAACAAAAAAAAAAAACCCCAAAAACGTCACCTATCGCGAAAGAAAGAATTCCAAGACAAATGTTAAATATTTTGGGCTAAAATATCGATAAACACCGCCTGTTTAGAATTTATCGGACTGTTATTGTCCATTTGATACCGCTTAAAGTTTTCATTTTAATGATCTAAGCGGTATCATATGGACAATAACACAGCCGATAAACAGTGTTTCTTTTTCGAAGATATTGCACACGCCTCATTAATCGCTAATTAGACAAAAGGATTACAGCCATCTTGATACATTCTTGAGAATCTATCGAATCGCATTGTCACAACAGGTATCTTATAGTTGGAGAGTAAAATTTGGCGAACCTGAAAACTCCCTGGGAGCGCCAGAGGTCACTAATTCCATTTTGAACATTAAATAAAATGGAAAGTTGAACGAAGGTGATTTAGAAAATTTAATTTTAAGAAAATTAGTACCTGCTTGGATGTTTTACCCACCATCTCATTACGTCACTAGCTATAAGATACAAATATTGCAAGAGGTTATAAGACCGAGACGGCCTACTTCGGCATGTAAACGAACAAACTAGAAACTATAGATCGTTGTTCGCTTAATAGCGAATACCACGTGAAGCGTATCACTATTGAATTATCAGTAGTTATATAATTCAACTGCCTTGTTAGTTGTATTTATGTACTGTTAAACAATATGAAGACATATTGAACAGGTCTGGTGTTGACAGAATACCTATTTATCAGTACCTGCAACAATAGCACGGGATATTCCGGACAATATTTGTGAACTTGTCATTCAGTTTGGTTTAGTGTTTTGGTGTTTAAATGAAGAGAGCAAGTTACACTACATTCGTAACAACCGTTGTTTTTGTGGCTGTGTGGTGTATTACTTTTACATACGGTAAATTTATTTACATCCATTTAAAGATACATTATGGGAGATTAGATAAAGAGCTGGCAGTTCGCACTATAATAGTTAAAAACTAGATAATGTAAAGGGAATTTGCTGGAAATTTCAGTCAAATTGATCCACTCTGAACCGAGATTTTAGCGATTGCATTTTCGGCCTTGCCTCGATCATCATTGCGAAAGTCGGTACGATAAAAACATAGTCTCGATTATACATTTCATGATTAAATCATGAATGGAATTCGAACAGCAAATCGGAACTTAATCCAATAAACATCGCAGGCTAGCGTTGACTTCGAGAGTTGATTATGGTCTGGATAAGTTAATTAATGTTAATTTAGATAACATTGCAGACCGAAAGAAAGACCTGCAATAGGCCGATTTAGCTCTTGCATAATGTATGTTTAATTAACGCTGCATAGGGTAAACTTTCTACAAGTTAAATTTCGTATTATGTGAGGGGATCACGTGGCTTAGTCGGTAAGACGCTGGCTTGCTAGCCTGGAAGTCGGGTGTTCGATCCCTGCATTGTCCGAGAAAGTTCATCCAGATTTTCCGGCTTGGTCCCCCCCTTGTCAGTGATATAGGACGGAGGGCCTGACAAGGACAGCTGTCCAGTCCTTCGGATGAGACAGTTGGAATTCGATATAAGAGTAGGCGATACTGCCGCTGCCCGGGCAAAATTTCCCTCATAGCACACTGTATGGCGTATGCCCGTCTTCATTAGCCTAGTTCGGAGCAGAACAGTAGGACGTTAAACCCCATTTCATTTCATTTCGAATAATGTGTGAAAGAGACAACCAAGCAATGGCGTTTATATGACTGGTATCATGGTTGCCGTTATAGGAGACACTGTAGTGTCGTTGCGCTAATTGCACACCAACTATCATCAGCTACTCCATCGTAAGTAACCTTGAATAATTGATTATGTATTGCATAGTGTTATGTTGTATCATATAATAAGGCAGTAGTTGCTGTGTATATGTGACAGTTGGGTGATTTTATTCATTAATTTTTGCTTGTGTTAACTACTGTATTATATGCATCAGTATCTTTTAATTTATTTTAGGCATGGCAGAGCAATGCATTAAGGGATCAAAAATTGGTAAGTAAACCTATTATAGTTTTTTGATTTGTTCAAAATCAAACCATTTGCTATCCTGATTTACAAGCCAACCTTTTGACACATTATCCTTCCGAAGTTCCTTAGGTGGATTTGAATTGAGTTTTGATTTGTTTCAGTCATCTCAGATGTTTCCGGATTCTGTTTGAATTATAGTAATGATAGAAGTAACCGCGAAATGTTTCATCGTTTCATCAACACGAGCTTTGCTTTAATTTAAAGATAACCTGAATTGGAAAACAAATGAAGATACTTTGTTGTTGATTCGAAGAAAACAGCATGAATTTACATTTTGGGAAAGTTAGAGCCGATTAAAGAGACGCCAATTAACAGTCAAGCCATTCAGGAAATCAAAGATTTTATTTGGCCAATTTCTTGTAGAAATAATTCGTGTTATATTTCTATATCACTAGGTGATTAGCTGCTTTGATTGACTGCACGGTCAGTGGCATTGTATTTTATTTTTTGCCTTTCTCACTTTCAGTAACAGCATGCACCAATCACAGTGTTCCAACCGATCGGATGTTTATACCAGTAAATGGCAGTATAGATCAAGGTTGTTCGTGTGACGTCATTATATTCCAAGCCACTGATAATTCCACCTTTTATTCTCTCTATATGAAACATGCAAATCGAGTTAATATCAGTTGTGGATATAAAGTAGATATTTTCACCACCAACAATAATTACAGTATAACGTGTTCAGAGTTTGGATCACGTTCCAATACTTTAAAATTAAATCAGCGCCAAAGATTAAGATTCACAACCCATCATGCACCAGATCCCACCAATACAACAGGGTTCTGTTTATCGGTTTCATCACAAGGTGAGATTTACATGCACACAATATAAAGGGTTTAAAGTCTTGTCGACACCGTGACATGTCGTTTTGCCACTAATATGTAAGAATTGTACATGGGACCTCTCTTTGCTCCATTGTAACTATTCCTTGTCAGTCCACAAGTGGTTTTTCGACACATCCCGGGATGTGGTTATCAGCCCAGTGTCCAAACAATCCAACCACGGCACCCCTATTCCACATTTTGAAAGCAATGCTAGGTTAACTATATATTCTCCTTCTGCACAGAAAATGTACTGATGAAGATGGATTGCTGGGACGTACACAATCCAACACCATTAACAGCATCTACAACATCCATAGTCCGTACACCATCAACCAACACTGCACAACAATCAAGAACCTCCATTCTGCCAGTATCAACATCGCCTATAACTTCAAACAGTGAGTCATCAACAATTGTTTCATTGACGACAACAACATCCACTACCAAAAATGCACATGTGCAGAATTCCAAAGGTAACATTTCATTATATATTGATACCATCAGATTAGAAATTACGTTGAAATGTAGAATAACGCGCATGGTATGAGCATGCATACGTGTATGGAAATTTGCGCATTATAAATATACACTATTATTATTATCAGGAACTTCGCAGCAGCGAAAGAAACGTTTACACTTGAGCTGATGGAGTCTTCGGGTTTGTTCGAAGCTTGACGCTCACAAGAACAACAGTTAGACCAGCAGCGCATGAGGTCATTTCTTACGGCATTTGCTTTTTTATGCGGCATTTGTTTTTATATTGGTGGGGTATATATTGTTGTATTTCTGTATTTCTAGTTGCTGCTATTGGTGGAAGTATAGGAGGAGGAATATTGTTACTGTTAGTTATTATAGTAATTATATGGTAAGTATATGCACATAGAGAGAGAGATAGAGAGAGAGATGGGGTTTAACGTCCTCTCGACACATTTCGGGACTAACATATGGTTTTAATTGTATTTCAATAATTTGCTTAATGGGTCTTTAGCAGTGGGAGAAAACCAGAGGACCCGGAGAAAGCCCACGAGGTTAGACAGGCGGCCCTACTCCTTGTTACGTACAACCGGGGATTCGAAACCACACCAGTTGACTCAATGACAGGCCTTATGATAGACATGCTTTATAAATTTGTGGGTAAAATCGAAGTTGAAAATAAATGAATGCAGTGTACCTTTACATACATTTCTTGTATTAAATTTAATGGCATGTCGTTTATCTATATCGACAACATCATGTCTTATATTATGAACGAATAGAGGCACAAAAGTGTTCATGTCTGTTTTCATTTATTTTCAGTAACACCGGATACAAAAACAGAAGCCATAACCCTATTCACTGTTACGTATCCTAATATGTATGTCATTTATTTTCAGTTTGTGTAGGAGACGACGCAACAATAACTGTGATAAACCATCTGATAGAATCACCGAAAGTACCAACTACAATAATTTACGTGTGAAGGATGAGATGGTTATTTTAGATAATGATTTGTATGTTAGTTATGATGATAAATACCAGTCCACAGCCTCACCTACTTCAGATCTACAACATGTACAGGCATCAGTCCACAATACACTAGAGAAGTCAAATCCAAAACCTGTACAGATACGTGGATATGTCACTACTGATGTACAGCCATCAGGTATGACTGCTGATCACATTAAATCAATACCCTCCCCCGACGACATGATCATTCTTGAAAATGATCTATATTTGAGCGCGGATTCCATTCCCAATTCCGCTGCGGACAATTATGATAAAACGAGCGACGAGCAATTGGATCAAACTGAATTCGCCTTGAAACCGAATCAGGGTGTAAGTAATGGGTATGCTGTAGTTAATAAAACCAGGAAACCAAATCAAAAACCTGCTAAAAGACTCCCCCGTGACTAACTGATCAATGCCCATTTTGCACTCACAAACAAATATCTATATTGCGACTCTCCGTATTTTTCTAACACTTTCTTGTGTAAATACAATAAGGATCTCTTTGACTGAAATAGCACAAGCTACTTACAGTGACCGAGAGATGTCCATCATAAAATCTCAAAAAGGGACAATAACACTCTTGCTGGCTTGACAGTTCCAGAAAATAAACAAAAATAGCCTTATTCTAAGGACTAGATGTTTTAGTGTCCTACCTGTTGTGTAAATTATCCATTAAATCCTATTTTACTTGTCCAAAGGGTTCAAAAATATTTTTAAATCCAAGTCACATTTGAAAAGCTTTACGTCAGACTTTTTAAATCATTTAGTTGAATTTTTCAATTTTTTTTAAATAAGGTGTGTTAAGATGAAAATATTTGTATCATCAATTAATTGGAATATTGTAAAATAGTACAATTTGTTGACCGGAATAAAGATTAGGACATATTATTCAGTTACAACAAGTGTTAAGATGAAATTTGTATCATCAATTAATTGGAATATTGTAAAATAGTACAATTTGTTGACCGGAATAAAGATTAGGACATATTATTCAGTTACAACAAGAGTGGTATTGAGCCTTTAATTTACTGATATATATATATGTCGAAATGATTTGTATATCGATTTGTGGATTTTACTGTTTTAATAGTATACTCTTCAAAAAAAAAGAATATAGGGGATATTGAAATGCAAATACATATGCAGGTTGTGATATGATAAATAGTCATGGACACTTGACATCCTTTAAGAGTATGTTCACAGATGAAAAACTTATCGCCCCAACAGAACCTCTGAGCTGCGCATGCGACACGAAATATCGCCATACACGTGGGAGGGGTTCATTGTCAAATTTGACACTTCAAGGGAGGGTTGATGAAAACTGCCGCGTACTGGTTTATCCATCCATGTTTGCTTTCCTATCGGTTCTTGCATATGATTTACTGTTTAGAGTATCTTTGCTTTAGATGTGTTCGTCAACGTCGGGGGGGGGGGGGGGGGGGGTTAATGGTTGAATGGTTAGCGTGTACGCGCTGTATCATAAAGTCTGTCATTGAGTCAACTGTGGTGGTTTCGATTCCCCAGTTGTACGTGGCAAGGAGTAGGGTCGCCTGCCCAACCTCGTGGGTTTTCTCTGGGTCCTCCGGTTTCCTCCCACTGCTAAAGAGCCCTACGCGCAAGCGAATTGTTGAAATAAAATTAAACCATACGTTAGTCCCGAAATGACCTGGTTTATGTTAAGTGGACGTTAAACCCCATTTCTCTCTCTCTCACGTCAACCGACAACACGGCAAGAATTGGCCATGGCACTGCAAGAGGGGTGGGTCAGATTGCCCCAAATCGTGATTGGACGGTTGATTAGGAGCATGCCACGACGAATTGCTGAATGTCTGAGGATTGGTGGAGTAATTACTCATTATTAAGACAAAAATCAAAAATGTCCATTTTCACTTTTGACGGTGTATCTCTTTGCGAGCGAAATGGAGCCTCCAGATAAGCCACCCATATGAACTGTTTATGTTCATGTGTGGGCAATTGGCCTGTTATTAATATACACTGATTACCTCTAATAAAAGCAGCAGGTGCATTTTGTATTGTTTCTAAATATCCCCTACTTTTTTTGAAGAAATTAAATAACTAATAATATATATGCAACTATGGCTTATTCTTGAAATGATTTCACTATAATTATTTACCTACTTTACAGTCTATTTCTTGTTTTTGTTTATTACATTGGGGGGGGGGGGTAATTATGGCTGCTTAAACTGTGGACTCCAGGTTAAAAGTTCGGTTCTGTTTGCCAAATTAGGTAGTTCGAGGGTATGGAATTTCCAAAATAACGACATTTTCTTATACTGTATACTTGGAGATCGTCTGTAATATATTTGTTGGCAACCACAACGATATTCATGTCATATGACGTAGTACGGGTGCGTAGACCCAGGACAATATAATATGTATTATGCTCGTGCTTCAGTGGGACAAATGAAAAAAGAAGTACAGTATTTTATATGCAGGCCAACTTGTACTCCGGACCTCGGTTTTTCCCAACCAAGAAAGTTCCCCGGAAGTTTTCAGCGCGGTTCCACTTGTCGGATGGAACCCATGACAGTTAGAATTCGAAACAAATTAATGTAGGGCGTAGCTGTTCGAGCAAAATTGTTCTCGTGGCACTCTGCATGGTGTATGGCCGTCTTCATTAACCCGGTTAGTAAGGCGCTAAAACCATTTCATAAATTTCCAATGAGAAATACTTTTAGTCGTGAAAGATATTAAATTTCTCGTTTAGAAACACGACCCAGATATTACAACATCCTTATAGACGAATCATGTTATAACTTCATATTCAATGTAAACAAAACACCCAGAACATGATGCAGTACAGGACATTCTTGATTCTCCCGACAATCTCAGCTGGCCTTTGCTTTAATGAAATTGAAGAACGTTTTAACTATTAGAGGAGCATGCATAAAGATGACTCTGTCTTATTAACTTACGATATATTATCACTCTCACCAAGACGTAATGAAGTAGCTCAAAATTGAAATTAAAAGATATTCCACAGATATTTTTAATCCAGATATAATTCTAACACATTTAGCCATCCCTTAATCATGTGTTAAAGGCACCAATTCTTCACGGATCCGTTTGTGTTACTAATACGATGTTGACAACGCACGTGTTATCGACGCCTAAAATGTGACGTCCCATGGAAATCAAAATGGCCAGTCTTTCTGTATAGAGTTAAAGGAAGGATTTCGTATTACCACTGTTTAACAGATCGGAGGTGAACGTGATACAAATTAGAGACGGATGGCAATATCCACTAGCCAATATCCATTTGTGACATAATTATAGTTTAGTATTTATTTATTGATAGTAATTAAATATGCATTATGCAAGAGCTAAATCTGCTTATTGCAGGTCTTTCTTTAGGCCTGATATGTTATTAAAATTATTAATTAGACATTAATTAACTTATCCAGACCATAATCAACTATAGGTGCCATCGCTAGCCTGTGATATTTATTTGATTAGGATCCGATTTGAAGCCCAACTTTCATTCATGGTTTAATCATGAAATGGATAATCGAGACTGTTTTTTATCGTACCAACTTTAGTAATGATGATCGAGGCTAGGCCGAAAAATCCATCGCTAATTTCTCGGTTCAGGGTGGATCAATTCGACTTAAATTTTCAGAAATGCCCCGAAGGAGAATTTACATTAAAGCCAATGGCGATATCACTGGTGGTCTGATACCAACTACATTAGTTATTATAGTCCATATCAGTGTAGTCCCTCTGTACTGTACTACAACAGACAGTAACAAATAAGTGTATCCACTCTGTACTGAAATATAACAAATCAAACCATCAAAAGTAGAGACAACGAATCTTACTAGACAAGTTCTGGCTTCTCTGAATAACATTCATGGGGCGCGAAAGAAACAAAAATGTGAAGGTATTCCTTAAAGTCAGGCTGTGAAGACCTAATGTGAGATCATTGAGAGAACTAAACGTCCAGTAAACAGCGATTAACGTTACTAGATTTCGGTAGTTATGGTAAATGGACACCGACTAACGACAAATACAACCTACAACGGATTTACCCTCTATCTATAATAATAGATTCCAGTAGCAAGGGTTAGTTTTCTTTGAGTTAAAATGTTTGAGAGGGAATTGGAGAAAACATTTGATAGATAAATTATTCTGAATCATTAAATTTCGCAATTAGTACCAGGGAATGCAGATTTAAAGAGGGGCTCACAACTTCAAATAATCACCACGTAAAAAAGATTTTTTCTTTCAAACCCAAATACCAAATGTTCAATCTCTGAAAACAAACAGAAAACATAACCAATGTTATTACTACTGGTTTTAAAAGAGATGGTTCACGTATTTCTAACAATTAGATATATAGATCACGATGGTACCTATATTCTAAAAAATAGATTGGTAACCATGGTAGCAACTAGAATCAACCTTTTCTATATTCTAACAATAGACAGGTAACCATGGTAACTAGATTCTAACCAAAGATTGGTAACCATGGTAACTACTAGAATTCATACAATATCAGACAGCAGAAATGTCGCCACGTGTTATACGGATAAAACAATATAAGCATATTTTAAATAACAGCTGGATTTTATTTTTTCGAGTTTAGATTTTGTGAGATAATCAATATTATCACTTATGATCGATAATATACTGAGCGCCGTGGAAAACGCATCACTTTTTTTTCCAAAATATTTTATTACTAGGTGGTTTTGTATGTATAATATTATGTAATACTATGAACTATTGTTTCACACAATGCTCCCAAACGCAAAAAATATCGGCCCGTGTGCACACAAAAAAATTGCACGAGATGCACATGAAAAACCCAATATTCAGGTGCAGCATTGTGTGTGAGCCCTTTAAAAACATGTTTTCAACTTAATGTGCAGTAAATGAACTGTGAAACGTCAATCTGTCGTAATTTGTTGTTGGACGTGTGAAGGAATCGAGCTAGAGATGCCGAGACTTACTGAAAATCAACGGAATGAAGCCATGGGAATGTCCAGGGCTGGCATGTCTACACGTGCTATTGCCAGACACTTCAATTGTCATCAGTCCACTATTGTAAGGTTGGTGGAACGTGTTCGAGTTACTGGATCAACACGTGGCCGTCAACGTCCTGGTCCACAACGCGTTACAACCCAGGCTCAAGACCGCTACATCCGGGTCACTCATCTGCGTGACAGATTCCGCCCAGCGACTCGAACAGGTGCAGCATTTGTCGGAAGACAAGGACCAGTAAGTGCCAACACCGCAAGACGTCGTCTAAGAGAAGTAGGACCCAGTCCACGACGACCTTATGTTGGAGCTATCCTCAGGGATAATCACCGTCAGCGGCGTTTGATATGGGATCAAGGACACCAGACATGGAGAAGAGTAGACTGGCGAAGTGTGCTCTTCAGTGATGAGAGTCGCTTTCATCTTTATCACGCTGATGGCCGTCAACGTGTGTGGAGACGTCTTGGGAAACGTCTTGCAGACTGCTGCGTCTTCGAAACGAATCGATGGGGTGGGGGAAGTGTAATGGGGTGGGGAGGCTTCACATTCCATCACCGGACCGTCCTACACATTTGCAGTGGTCGCATTAATGCTGTAGCCTACCGTGATGATGGCCGGTGGAGGATACAAGCGCTACTGACATCTGTGTCGTACTTTTGGTTTTGACCCCTCTGACTTTGTACCCTTGATTACA